ACCCATTAGGTCTAGGCGTTTGGGCTCCTTGGACTTAGGAGTAGGCCCCGTTGCACTTACCCTTCCTTCTGGGCCACCACCTGTACCACTATTGAGTCTGGAGTAGGTTGGGAATAGAGGTGCTCATGTCCCATTGTGGGATGAAATACCTTTTCTCTAATCCTTTTTGGGTAAGTGGGTTTGATGCAGGGGTTTGCCACAGAGTAGTCATGATCTTAGCCACTGTTTTGTTAAGAGGCAATGCCAATTTTGCCGGGGTATCTGCAGTCAATGTCTACCATAGGGTCAGCGTCTTCAACTACTGATTTCGCTTGGATGCCTAGATTAGTAGCCAATCTACGCAGGAGGTCTTGGTGAGCACGAGCATCCATAGACGGCATTGAAGGTGCCAGATCTGCTAAGGCTTCATCGGGTGAGGATGAGAAAACCCTCTGTTGCGGTCCTGTTGTTCCTCCACCACAGGCAGGCAGTGGTCTGGCGCCGGTTCCACTGGAACTGGGGCTGTTATCCCCGTTGCGTCTCATCTCTGGGCTCCTGCCTTAATGGGCTTTGCCTAATGTCTACCTCAGGAGGCCTTGACACTGAGGCTGAAGGGGTGTTCCTAGTTCTGGGAACACTCGACCTTCTTGATGGTGGCACTGGATCTTGCTATTGGTAATAGGCTCAAGGCATCCAAAAAGGCCAGGGTGGTTAAACTTGTGAAGGCCAAGTTTGCTCAAAGTCCCCTAGGCTGGTGCCGGGAACGAGAACGGTACCTAGACAAGGTCCTCGATGAAGACCTGGATGGTAGTGATTCAGCTTCTGATTCCGAAGAGTATTCAGAGCAGACCATGGCGATGCTATGGGCGGTGCCTTGGAGAGGCAAGAGTCATGGGGTTCTCCATGCGGTATTGGTTTAGCACAGGATGCACAGAGTTCAAAACCGTGTGAGCCTGGCATACCCTCCCCCGAAGGGGAGAGAACACTCAAACTACCTAAGTGCTAACTATACTATTAAATGCAAACTAAGACTAAAGAACTACTTACACTACAAAGAACTCTGAGCACTGGATTAACAAGTCAACAAGAGAAGCTCCAACAACCATCACAGGTGGTAAGAAGGAACTGAGGAGGGGGAGGGCCGGCAGGTGTACTTATGCGCTGTTATCGTGGTGCCACTCCAAGGGGTGACCTGCTGGCCCGACGGGTACCGCTGGGGAAAAAACACTCTGGGAACTGTGCAGGCGGGCGAATGCACCTAATTCAAATGTATATGAGCAACCACTTGAAGAAGAACTGCTTTACACTGCAGTATATCCTCATTATTTTTCTCTTAATTTGTTTTTTAACCATTTGAATGCCAAACTAGGACAATGCTCTTTGGAAAAGAATGCACAAAGCAAGACAGATGTGCTAAACATATGGTTATCGGAGAGCTGTTTACAAAACAATAATTATGTGAGTGCAGAATTTTAATTTCCTATCTTTTTTGTTGTTTTTGCTTCATTGCTTTCGATGAGATATTTGGCCATGAATTATCTAATTCAAAGTTACTGCAGCAGAAAGAAGCAGCAGATTCCTAAGTATCTACAATATTTGCAAAGTACAAACCAGAGGTACCTGAATAGTCCTATTAATTCCAAAGACTTTGCTATATTACTAAACATTTTTTCTGGAGTGGAAATGAATTACGAGGCCTACAGTTATCTAGTTAGCTATTTGCCTAGTCTATGCATCTGTGCAAGCCTATGCACATTTTTATCTATTACAGTACCTTTTAGAAGCTCCATTGACATGATTTATACAATTGGAACAATTTCAGTAGGAGATTGAGAACTAGTCAGCCCAAAATAGCTGATAGCCTCTCATGTAAGGTACTCATCTGGTGGAAAGATTTAAATTCAATCACTTCCCCAAAATGGATATTCAGTTTTCTCTCTCCTATGTCCCAAGTAAGTGCCCTAACCACTGAGCTAAACATATACATGCTTGCACAGAGTTGCTGGCTTGAAGTAGACTTTTCCAATTTGATGATGAATTCTGAACATTTTTAGAAACAAACAATAATTTCCCTGATTTTTCAATTTGTTGGCTGAACCAAAAAATCAATTATTCACTCAGCTTCATTTTGGAGCTTTCACTCTTTATAGCTATTCCGTGGAATCCAGTATACGTGGTGCCTACATTTATGGAGTGCACTGACCCTGCATTGAGTCAACAGACACAGATCAGTTGCTCTGGGCCCAAGAGGCCTCTCTCTCTCCTCACTTCCTCTGTGGGGTCCTGAGATCACATTGTTGCAAATATTTGACTCCACAGAAAGCCCAGACAACTGCAATGGGGTGTACCAAGCCTGCATTGAGCCAATGATGATGGCCCTGCCCAACAAATTGAGTATTCATCACATCTACTCTCTCAATTAGTAAGAGTTTCATACATTCTGCATGGAATCTGATATGGTGTATGAGAATGTGCAGTGACAGTGTACATGTTAGAATTAGACAGAAAAAGAGTGATCCTCTTGATGGAAAGTTTAACTAAAAATTTTTAAAAAATTCCTCGAGAAATGGAAAATAGAAATATTTTGCTGTAATTTGGATACTCATGATTTCATTCTTCTCCATAAGCCAAGTTGTCTGGTTAGACTACTTTTCCCACAGTGCACCATGGTCTGCTGCCTTGATAAAGGGACATAGTGCATCACGGGATGATGAATTCCATCTGGGGAGCTCAGCACAGAGGGGATAAGGGCCATGTGGCAACCAATCTGCACTGTGAACCATATTATGTCAATTGTTTTCTGAAATACTTGTTTTAGCTGAAAGCCAAAGCTTTTCAGATTTATGACATTCAAGGTTTTTTATTTTTTAATGAAAAATCAGTTCTCTCCATTGGGAAGTAAACACATTTTGGTAAAAAAAACCCTATAATAAAACCACTATTTTCTGTTGAGAAACAATTTCAATTAAATATTTTGACCAAATCCAGTACATATGTCTGCCACTGTAAGGGGTGGGGAACCTATGGCCAGGGGGATGGATCTGGGCCCTGGATTGCCTGAATCCAACCTCTGAGGCTTAGGGCATCCAAACTGGCACTATAGCCCCACAGATACCCCCAACCATGTGAGACAGGAGTGCCAATGCTGGCTCCCTAATGCAGGGGGAAGGAGCCCTAAGCCTCATGGGCTGGAATAAGGCAAATCAGGGCCAGATCTAACCCATGGGCAGGAGGAGACAGAAGCTCCATACTCTGCCATTCCCCTCTTCCCCTCCTTTCCCCCCCTGGGGAAATAGCAGCACAGCAAAGCACTGCCTGGAGGCTTTACCCCTACCACTTTACCCCTACCAATCCTGAACCCATTCTTGTACCCCCCCCCCTCCTATCCCCACTGCCAGCCCATTCCTGCAGCCTGTCTTCCACCCGGATCCCAACCCACTCCTGCACTTCCTCTCTGCTCCTGTACCATACCTTCCACTCAGATCTCCCACCCCCAATTCCCAGCTCAATCCTTCACCCTATCACCTCCCAGACCCCCAACCCATCCCTGCAACCTTTCTCCCATCCAGAACATACACCCCAAGACCATTGACTAGCAGCCACCTCTCTCACACTGAATTCCTCAATTTTTGATCCACCAAAGAGCCTTGGGGGGCCTCCCAGACTATGGCGTGTGAGGAAAATGTGGGGAGTGTCTACTTCTCAGTGGGAGACCATATCAGTGAGGTGTAGGGGATTCCCCACTCTTGCTGTATATTAAAAGAAATCAAATATCACTGTTCATTAAAATATATACAGGATGAAAATACTGTAAGAGGATTCTGTAAAATAGAAAAGGTGATACTAATACTATCTACTATACAACAATTATATCATAAGATTTTATACTATTTATTTTATGTTTTACTCTTGATTTACAATATTCCTTTTTTCTTCAATAGGAAGACATACTGATGTTCTGCCAAAAGTCTAAATTGCTTCAAAAAATGACAAAGTAAAATTGTATTTTTAAACTATGGTTAAATTATGAGGCTTTTTACAAAAGAAATACAGTAATTTTACTGACACTAAAAAAAACCCTAACACATTAAGCTGAAATGCAGTAATTCTCAAACTCATTAACAATGCTGTCAGTTTCAATGCTGTATAGTATTACTGTGACACTAAAACTAGATTTATGTTTATTTTTAAACTGCCATCAAAATAGTAGCTCTTCTTGCAATGCACATGTTTGTTAGGGTCTTGCTCTGCATTCTTTGCCACGTATAAATGATTAATTCATATTTTCATAGAGACCTGGATGCATCTGTCATTCCAGATAGAAAACTTTGGTCTTTTTCTGTATTCAGATTATGGAACATCTCTCATCTCATACAGAAACCCCTTAGTTCTGGGTTAGAGCTCAAGCTGTACATCACTGAAAGAAGCTTATATTTAAAAGTATACCTGGCTTACAACATTAAATAGAAGTATGTCTGAGTCTGTCTGTCATATTTATTCCTGTGATTTCCAGAGATGCTGACAGCCTCCATTGGCCCCTGAGCAAGGTGGGGGGGAGGGGGCTCTCCACAGCCTCAGGGGGAAGTTTGCGAAGCTGGAGAAGTCAGCCCTTGGCATCACCAAGATAGTTGTTTTGTCTAAACGTATGTTTATATCACAGTTGGCACCTGACCCTGGCTCTGGTTTGGAGTCCCTGACTAACCACTAAACCTGACTGCTCACACCATGGTCCCTATAGGAATAAGTCTGCCTGCCTCTTCTCAGAGTTAGTACTGCTGGAGATGAGAACTCAGCATCGTGAAGGACATGGTGGGGCAGCAATTCTTCTCCCCTGCTAATGAAGTACAAGATATTTATATGTTAGGAGAGAGTTGAATTTTCAAATGCACTGAGCCAAATTCTGTTCTCAGGGTCTAAATCCACTGAACCCAATGAGGAAATGGCAGCAGAATTCTCAAGTGCCACAGCTGACTAACCATATACAGTCCAGAGAGGTTTGTGGGTGCGAACACCTTACTCACTTTGTGTGATCAGCTGATGGCCTGTGGTTTTCCTCCCCAGGATGGATAGTTGCTCCTTTTCCAACACCCCACTGGAATGCATTAGTGGAATGGACTGAAAAAGTTGCTGCTGCCACTTCTGGTAGTGGTTGATACCATTCACATAGATTTTCACCTTCAAAATCACAAACTTCCATGGCTTTCAAAGACAAAATTAGAATACTTAGTATCTGTCTACAAACTTGGAATGATCAGATAGTTGATGTTAAGGTTTAGTGTACAACAATAGGTATAAGATAAATTGTAGCTTAGTTTCTTTAATGAATATTTATATAGTATTAACAAGTATGATTTCTCCCTGTTACAATACCAGTGGCACTCACTATATTATTGGCTAAGGAACACATTCTATAGTTGGGGGAAAAAGAAATCATTTGAACTCTTATTTATCTTGCTGTCTAATGTCATATCACATAAGATATGAAAAAGACCCATTTCATCTGATGATGTCAAGTGCCAAAATATCATTGTAGAAGGCTATTAGTGTGATATCAACATTAAGGAGGGAACTCAAAAAGCAAATTAATTAATTTTAATAATCCAAATAATGTTTCAATGTTCTACAATAATCCTGCCATCAGCGCAGTGCTCTCTACTCCTGAGGCTAGGTCAGTTTAACTGCTTCATTCAATAGTGTGAGCATCATAATTGAACAGAGCCATCAGGTTGGGTGGCTGACTCAAGACCCATACTTTGAGGGCCCCCCACAGTGTCCACCTCAACTGTCCTACGGATGGAGCCCAGAGCAGCCTGGGGGATTGCTGGGGTGCTTGGCATTGGGTGACAGCAGGAGGTGGCCCTGCCATCCTCCAGCCTGCTGCACTCAGCTTCACCCTAGCAGCAGGAAGCTGAGTCATGGAGTTGCCACAGAGAATCCAATTGCAGCAGGCTGGGAAAGGGAAATGGGGTGGAGCAGAGCAGGTTACTGGGTCACTCCAGCTCCCGCCACTGTGGAGAGTGTGGGAGGAGTGGATCAACCCCTGCTGCCACCTTGTGCAAGGCCCTTGGTAATTCCCCAGATCACGCTGCTCAGGGTAGGGGGCTTTGGGCCAGGGGGCAGAGTAGGGGTGGGAAGGTTCAGAATGGGGTAAAGTAGGGACAGGGAAGAGGTGGAGTGGGGATGGGGCAGTGCCCCTTACCCTCCTCCCCCGCCCTCCCGGGACAGTCCTATAGTTATACCACTATAAGTAGATGATATAGACCAAGCCTTAGGTGACCACTATATTAGTAAGTTATAATATTGGTGATCATGGGATGTCCTCTCTGGGGTATTAGAGATTGTGCAATGAAATACTAGTGAGGGGCTAGCAGAGCAGCTTTATTAGCTTTAAAAGTTACAGTAAAGCTAACCACCAATGCCTCTGCCTAATTATCTATAAGATTCATGATGCTCTCAGAGGGTATATCTACACTTGCCCCCTACTTCGAATTAGGGAGGCAAATGAAGCATACCGAAATTGCTAATGAAGCGCGGGATTTAAATATCCTGCGCTTGATTAGCATATTTGCGGCCAGTCGCCATTTTAAAAAGCCAGTAGCCCGAATTAACTCGCCGTGTGTAGATGCGGTAGTCCAATCCAAAACCCTTCCCTCTAATTAACTGTTACTCCTCATTGCACGAGGAGTAACAGTTAATTCGAGGGAAGGGTTTTGGATCGGACTACCGCGTCTATACGTGGCCAGTTAATCCGGGCTACCAGCTTTTAAAAATGGTGACTGGCCGCAAATATGTTAATCAAGCGCAGGATATTTAAATCCCGCGCTTCATTAGCAATTTCGGTATGCTTCATTTGCCTCCCTAGTTCAAACTAGGGGGCAAGTGTAGATATACTCAGAGTGTGGCATATCTCAAGGGCCACACTTAATTTTCCAGTTTTGTGTGTTTTATAAATATTATCTTTTGAAGTGCATTTGACAGTGGATAACACTCCCCTGTGCACAGATTGCTGCCCTCAGGATGTTCTTCAGGTTTATGCAGATACTGCCACTCAAGCGATGAATTGCGGTCATTGCTGTTGTGACTGCAAACTTCAAGTTGTATGCAGCAGACTAACAAGTATTCTCCATAACATTTATCCCCCTAGGGAGATGAAGGATGACTTGCAAAATAGAAGGGCTTGCTTTACTCAATGAGTTTCGCTTTATACTAAAGTTTCACGGCACCATATTCCCCTTAATAATTAGAGCTGGATGAAAATTGCATGGAAATGTTCATCAGTATTTGAATTTGTTAACAGAAAGTAGATGTTAATGTCAGATATAAATGTATTTGTGGTCAATATACTTTATATTGATAGATACACAAACAAAATATTTCACTTTATAAATGCTCATATGTGTTATCAGAAAAGAAAAAAATCATGTGATTCCTCTGATTAATTGCAGTCCTGCAACATCTTAAATTCTGAGCATTCATAATCAATATTTACAGGAAAAATGCTGATCAGATTTGAGAAGTTAAAAATCAAATAAATTTTCAGAAACTGCTATACTCAAGGAAGTATAATGAATATTTAAATTAAAAATATGTACTACTATTTATTTGTATAATGATGATGTGTAAATGGCTGGTTGTATTCAGTGCTTAACAAACATAGTAATTAAGCATTGGTAAAAAAATTGAATAGAAGTTTTTCCACTGGAAAATGCTGTTTCGTTGAAATCAAAATTTTCCACGGAAATGAGATTTTGTTGAAATTTAGAAAAAAATCTAAACGAAGCATTAAATAATATTACAATATTCTGTTTGAAGGTTTTCAGAACTTAAATGTTTCATATTTTAATTTTGAAATTACTTTTCGTGACAATTTTATTTTGCATAATCATTTTTGAAAGTGAAAATCAAAACTAAAATATTTGATTGACCCCAAATGATTTTTTAAAGTTTGTTGGTGCCAAATTTTGAAATGCAATGTTCATTTCAAATTTATAACAAAGACAAATGTAGAAAGTGTAAAACTTGCCATAACATGGAAATTCTGGTTCTGCCCACCTCTAATTTAGACATAGTTCCTAGCCTGAAGACACAGCTCACAACAGGAAATGCATTTAGACTATCTGATTTGGTCTGTCAAGGATTATATTTTAAGGCACAAATGTAAAGCAATATTTTGGTTTCTATTACTAAGTATTTTGAAAATTGGAATCCATCAGGAGCAACTAAAGAAACCTACTTGTAATTGATTAGATTGCTTATATTCTGTTTCCCCCTTCATTCTATATTACCTTGATTTCTAACTCATCAACAATTGCTTTACGGCTTTGAGAAGCAGAGCCATAATGACTGATTCACTTAATTTGAGAAATTATATTTATTTTTAAATGATTATGTATAGCAACCAAGCACTGAGTGATTGAAGCTTTTGGGTAAGTAACTAGAATTGGAGTATAAATTGTCAAGTCCTACTCAGCTCTTTTAGGGTATGTCTACACTTGCACCCTAGTTCAAACTAGGGAGGCAAATGCAGGAATTCGAAATAGTCAATGAAGCGGGGATTTAAATATCCCGTGCTTCACTAGCATGACCTCGCCGGCGCACTAGTTCCAATCATAGCTGATTTGAACCAGGAAGTGCACGCCAGGATGTGTTAGTTCAAACCAAACCCCTTGGTTTGAACTAACGTTACTCCAAAAACTGAGGAGTAATGTTAGTTCGAACCAAGGGGTTTGGTTTGAACTAAAGCATCCTGGCATGCACTTTCTGGTTCGAATCAGCTGTGATTCAAATTAGCGCGCCAGCGAGATCATGCTAGTGAAGCACAGGATATTTAAATTCCCGCTTCATTGACTATTTCGAAAGCCTGCATTTGCATCCCTTGTTTGAACTAGGGTGCAAGTGTAGACATAGCCTTAGAAGGTTGAAGATGCATAACATCTCAGATTCCTACGTTACAAAGCTAAAGGTTAGTCTTTCATTAGGGAGGTTTACATGATGATTCATGTCAGGATGCAAATACAGATTAGTAAATAAATATATGGATTAATTAAACATTTTAATATCTCAGAATAAACATGATAGTATTACATAATAATTAGTTCACTGACCACAAGAGGACTCATCAGACTTATCAGAGCAGTCAGGTCTGAAATCACATCTCTGGATCATCTGGATGCACTGACCAGTTGCTCTACAGATAAATTCTTTCGCTGTGCAATTGTTCAAAGGAAGTGTTGCAGGAACTGAAGTGCTTGAGGATGTGGTTGAGATAGCTGGCAAATTTCCTTATGGAAAAAAAATTAGAAGTCTTTAGTCAGCTATTTTTTGTTGATGACACTTGAACTGTGGAATTGCTGTAAGCATCTCCTGCCATCTAACCTTTTTTTGTAATGCTCTTCTTGTTTTTCATCCAATTAAACCTCCCCCCCCCCCAACATAGCACAGAAATTACTTTGGCCATGTGTACATTACGCAGAAGATTGACGGTGCAGTCAATCTTCCAGGGTTCGAATTAGCGTGTCTAGTGAAGACCCTCTAATTCGAGCTAAGAGGGCACTTCTGTCAGCAATGGTAGTCCTGCTCCTCATGAGGAAAAAGGGACTTCAACAGGAGCGTTTGCTCCCATCCGACCTCCTGCTGTGTGGATGATCTGAAAACACAATTTAAGATAGGTCTACTCCAGCAGTAATTAACATGGATGGAGTTGTGTATTTTAAATTGACTTTTCCCTTTAGTGTAATCCAGGCCTTTGAGAATCATATTTCTACTATGACTATGTCATGATAATTTCCTCTCCTCCAGAGTCCTCTCTTCAGGTTTAAGCACCTTATTCCTGCAGACTTCTCCCAGGTTCAGGCAGTCAGAGGTTAGGGACACCAAGAGCATTGGGTCGCATCCCTGACCATCTTGGTTAATAGTCATTGATGGACCTGTCTTCTATGAACTTAACTAATCCTTTTTTGAACCCCATTGTACTTTTGGCTTGCACAAAATCCCATAGCAATTAGTTCCACCGGCTGACTGTGCATTGAATGATGAAGTACAGGTTGAACCTCTCTAGTCCAAAACTCACAGGACTTGACCAGGGCCAAACCAGAGAATTTGCCAAATGACAGGAGGTCAATATTGTCTAGCAGCATTACCACCCCCTTCCACTATTTACGGGGCTCTTAGAAGACTGGTTGTAAATTAGAGTTAAATAACAGCACAGAACACTGAGAGCCAGGATTAGTGGCTGTAAACAAATTTTATAAGATTGTGGGAAACTTGGCCACACTCATGATAAATGGACATCTGACTCACTAAAAATCATACCAGACCACTGCTGTTGTTGTATAAGAGAAGTTCAAGCTGTACTTCCTTTTGTTTGCTTTAAATCTGGTGAATTTTCATTTCATTGGGTGACCTGTGGTTCTTCTGTTATGTGAAGGAGTAAACAAATCATTATTCATTTTCTCCACACATTTCACGATTTTATAGATCACAATCATGTCCTCTTTTAGTCATCTCTTTTCTAACTGAAACATTCCAATCTTTTTAAATTTTTCTTCATATGGAAGCTGTTCCATGCTCTTAATAATTTTGTTGCCTTTTCTGAACCTCTTCCAATTCCAATCTGTCTTTTTGAAATGGAGCGACCACATCTGCACACTGTATTCAAGATGGGGATATACTGTGGATTTATATGGTGGTAATATATTTTCTGCCTTCTTATCTATATTTTTTTAATAATTCCCAACATTCTGTTAACTTTTTTTTTGACAGCCAGTACACATTAAATGGATGTTTTCAAAGAACTATCCACAACAACTCCAAGATCTTTCTTTTTGTAAGAATAGGATTTATATTCTATCACTTTGTATGTATAGTTTGGATTATGTGCATTATTTTGCATTTACCAACGTTAAATTTCACTTGCCTTTTTGTTGCTCAGTCATCCAGTTTTGTGAGATTCATTTGTAATTCTTTGCAGTTTGCTTTGGACTTAACTATGTTGAGTAATTTTATATCACCTGCAGATTTTGCCACCTTCCTGTTTATTCCTTTTTCAGCTCATTTATGATTGCCTTCTTACTCCTTTTTGATGAGCTTTAGCCTCCTGCAATTCTCTATACAAACTTACCACTGTTTGTGTTGGAGCCCAGCCTCTGAAGCTATATGATTTGGAACAAAATTCTTAAAGCATTCTACCTCCTTATCTATTTTATACATCTTCTGAAGACCTTTGCTCTCTTGTCTATGTCTCTTTATTTTCCTCCACTTCTGATATTTTTACATAAACTTTATTTCATTTAACTTTATATACTGTCTTCAGTTACTCTTTGTGTGAACAACACTATACAAAATAAAGGTGTATTGTACACTACTTAGATTAGTTTAATAAAGGGGAAATGATCCATGAAAAAACATATCGTATGCACTATAGCCCTGCTAGACCTAATAATTTGGCTTAGGAGAAGTTACTGCATGCTAAAACTGAGTTCATCTGCATAAGGGTCTGCTAAGGCAACAATTCTAGGAAAATGACTTTGTGTAAAAATGCCTACTGTTCTGCTGCTTTCAGTTACTACTGCAAGTCAGCTATCAGACCATATATTACATTTCATTTCCTTCAGCAGCTGACAACCTGCAGCCCTCTTGGAAGCTTATTTTTTTTAATGGAACATGGCAGGCATGGAATTCTGTGGTTGTCTTGGGACACACGGTATGATGTTTCTGTAGACATTGCAGAAACCTAGGTAGTGAAGACTACAAGGAGACAGTAGTATCATTCAAATTGTTTGTGTAGTATACTGTGACTGTTTGATTGACAGAGAGGAATATCTCTGCACATACATGTGGGTATAATCAGTTTAATTAAGACATTATGCTGACAGTGCCAAAATAAAGAAATCAAAGGATGGAATGCTTTTTGCCTAGTGAAATGTTAATGTATTTACACTGCTTTAGAAGTGTGTTGCTCCTACAAGAAATGAAGTTACCTTGTTGTTGGTTACGAAAAATAAATTTCTGTGACTGCCTGCTAGAGCTGCTGGCTTCTTTCCCACCACCCTTAGATACTGGATCTTCTGCCTTACAGAGCTTATTTTCTAGGCAATGTCCCCAGGCATCTGAGCACAGTTTCTTCCCTTTTGCACACCTGACCTAATCTTAGCTCTTAAACTTAAGTGCATATCTCAAGAGTCACTTACTTTTTCTATAAGTTCAGGAATCAGGATTTAGGCACATCTAACATAAGAACATAAAAATAGCTACACTGGGTCAAACCAAAGTTCCATCCTGTTTTCCAACAGTGGCCAATGCCAGATGCTTAAGAGGAAATGAACAGAACAAGTAATCATCAGTCATGTTTTGTGCTTTTTACTAATTTGTTTTCCAGCTGTCCATTACCTTAATATTCCCTTTCTGTACTCAGTAAGCACATGTTTGAACTTGCCTGAAGACATTCCAGGACATCACTAGCTAACTACTGCCAAGGCATGGTGCAAGATTCTGGAAAGCAACATTGGGCAGATGGGAAAACTAGTTGGGATTTGATTGTTAAACAGGAGAGGCAAGGTTTGAGCAGGTTTTCATTTCTACATAAGAAGTTCTTCCACTGACGATACTAACCAAAATTAATCAATTACTAGTTCCAAGGCTCTTGGTGCAAAGACATTTATAGTTAGTTTCTAACTTTGTTCTCACCATTGTAAAGGGTACAGTCTGTAAAGGACAAGTCATCAATTCCAATGTCGCCACAGAAATCATCTCCCACAGTACCTTCCACCAAGATCTAGGGAAACAATTATGAAACCGTTTGTCAGAATACAGTTGACTTTCACTTCTCATTAGATATTTAATATCAACTGATAAAAGACCCATTTACTATGTTTCACAATTTTAGAATGATCTTAAATTTGAAAGAGACTAATCATTATCAATGCTCTCTAATGTTCACATTAATCATAGTGAACTATGATTATAGTTGGTTATATATTGTGACAAAATGATGGCAAGATGTTGTAATGAGTGGCACATTATGATTAGCTCTTGTTACTGTAAAAACATTAATCACAGTTAATTATTTTTATAAGAATCCCTCTACACTGAAAATAGATGCAGAGATATACTATAGCAAATTTAAAAAATGGACACATATTTTACTTAAATTTCATCAAAATAGCAGATACTTTATACATTTACTTCTCATTATTGCCAAAATATGAAATAGGATAGGTTAGTATTCAGAATACACAGGTGAGAGAGGTTAGTTTTTTTCCTTTGTGGCTGATTGAGAACTGTCAAACACTGCTTGTGACATCACAACTAATACAATTACAAGGACACAATCAGTTTAAATTTTCTTAATCTAAACTTTTTAAAAACCCCACGAACTATTTCTTATAGTGCTCCTTTAAAATAATATCTTTTAAAATATTATATGGCTTTCCTGTTTCCCTGCTGGATATTTATCAGGGTTTGAGCTGGTTGAAAAATGAGAACTTTTTTTTCATTAAAAAAAATCAGTTTTCTTTACCTCTCCCCAAAACAAGATTTCTAGATCAGCCTCATTTTAATGACTCAATACCTCCTCTGGGATCCCTAAAAATTCCACCATGTCTTTCAGGGTACAGTCCCTCTGCAGACCTGATGGTTCAAATCATACAGAAGATGCTTCCCATGAGTTACTGGATCAATTACTATGTAACATATCCTTTACCACACTTACTGTTCTGGTTTCCTCACCCTATACAGGGAAACCTAATAACCTGAGTATACCAAGAAAAAAAAACATTGTGAAATAATGTGCACATAGCAATGTGTTTCCACAAATCCCATGAAATTCTGGTTAAAAACTCAGGTACAATACTCAGCACATGACATTAGAGCTCAACACCAAATGCATACAAAGAAATCAAGTGTAAGTTATAAAAAAGGTGCCACAGTAATGCTTCACACTATTACTAAAGCATAATGATTTGCAATAGTGTGTAAAATTGCAAAACAGAACATTTATTTATAAAAATTAATGAACAACAATTCCAAATAAAGTCAGCAAAGATACATGGTAATTGTGCGGAACTAAGAGTCTTGATTAAATGTCAGTAGTATTGAAAAAGCATCCTGGAATCAAATGCCATCTCAAAAAATATATACTTGGCTCTTTTTTTTTTTTGGTCCTATGGTTAGTTAACTCTTCTAAAACATATTCAGTTTCCAAAATCAGCACTGACTCTCAAGTAGGGAGGACAAGAAAATAAGAACAGCCATACTGGGTCAGACCAAAGGTCCATCTAGCCTAGTATCCTGTCTGCCAACAGTGGCCAATGCCAGATGACCCAAAGGGAGTGAACAGAACAGGTAATCATCAAATGATCCCTCTCCTGTCATCCATTTCCAGCCCAGAGGCTAGGGACACCATTTCTACCCATCCTGGCTAACAGCCAGAGATGAACCTAAAATGTATCTAGTTTTTTTGAACCCTGTAAAAGTCATGGTCACCACAAGAACTCTGGCAAGGAGTTTCACAGGTTTACTGTGCATTGCCTGAAGAAAAGCTTCCTTTTGTTTGGTTTAAATCTGCTACCTATTTAAAAACAGCAAAGAAAAAAGAATGGTGGGTGTTTGTTTTTAATAAGAGAACATCTATGAGAGAGAAACCTTAATGTTGATGCAAAATAATGATAATTAAATTATAATTTATTCTTATAATATTAGGTCATAACTTGTCTGTGTCTTTACAGAATTCTATAGGATACATACTGTTCTGCTATGCCCACAATGCATGGAGACTATAACATTATTTTATAGTTTGGGCTACTTAATGTTATTTAATCAGATAGTCAAAATAATTTCAAAATACTTCTTTCTGTTACATGGTTAAAAGTCTCATGTGTCAAAGGCAGGGGAAACCTTCTCAGTCATGAAACTAGGTTTACTAAATTCAAGTACATTTATGAAGACTCTGAATACAGCTTTTATGACTACTACTTTTTTTTTTATTCTATACTATTTCCCTTTTAGACTATGTTTTAAAGAATTTATTGGTTATCGCAGATTGTGCTTTGTATAAATTACTTGATAGAATTTTTAATTGCCGGTTGTAAATACTATAAACAATAGGCCATACATCTAAGGAGAACTGGGAGAAAAAAATGATAACAGACAATAAATTGCCTTTATGAAAAAACAGAACACCACTCTGATGTAAAATATCATTTGGCACAGATATGATTTTTATCTAAAACAACAGACTTTGAAAATATTTACGTCCTGACTTTGAAAAAAAATGCAAGCTTAGGGAAGTATTGGAGAAGTTACCAGAAGCCATAAAGCAGAAAAGTGGACTTTACTACCCAGGACTGGCCCAAGGGGTTTTGGTGCTCTAGGTGAACTATGACTTTGACACATCTCTCTTCCTCCCCTACACACACATTCAAATTAGAGAAAAAAATGAGAAGCCCAGATTTAAGTTTTACCTTTATTTACTTGGCATTCAAAATGAACAATGCAAAAATAAAAGTAAACCTTTTTATTGATTTTTTTCTACTTTTCATTAATCCTAGCACAATTATACTACACAGGGCAAACCAATAGCTGACACACTCAAATTTCAACTGTTGTGAGTTGTACACAATAATTTTGGTCAGCCTGTAAAAAGTTGCATTTCAAGGTGCAACTGTCTTCCTTCAAAAGGAACTGATTTTTGGGAAGCTATGAAAATCTCTATTCCTTGATACTAAATGAAGTCTGTTTTTGAATTGTAACCCTTTTGCACAGGGCCATCGATTTGTATGAACATTTAGAACTTTTTTTTCATGATTTTGCTCTCAGAAATAGGGTAGTGTAGGAATTCCGACTCCCCATACAGCATCGCCTGTTGTCGATTTTGGGGAATTGGCTCTGACGGCAGCGGCACTATTCTATTTGCGTCACTGTCCTCCGACAGTGCCCACACAGCCTGGGCTTTACCCCTTCCGGGGATAGTTTGGGGAGTCCGAGCATGGACGGAATAGTCTGGTGCCCCCTTGATCCGCACCCTTATCGTCGCCCCCTATGACGTACTTTTCTCGCCGGTCCCCAGCGGCACATGTCTAAAATGCCCCTTGGTTGCGCTCTCAGGCGTTTCTTTCTTAGCTACTCCGGGAGTGGGTGAAGGGTAGAGAGGAGAGGGGGGGCCCAGGCCCACCCTCACTTCCGGACCCCAGCCCAGGGCCCTAAAGGACACGGACCGATTTTGGTCCGGGTCCGGCTGATAGGGGCATCCTTCCAAAACCTGCCAATCTGCGGGGTTCTTATATGACCCCGCCCTGGGCTACTTCCTCTCCATTCGGTCTTCCCTCCCCTGCTGCTGGCTTACCCGGCCCTCCGCGGGCCAGCCGCTCGTCGCTCCGGATGACCTTCTGGACCCCGTTGCTCCACGGGTGTCCGCGATGTCCTGCCTTCCACGGCCGCTGGTGCGTGCCCTCACCCGTCCTCCAGGGTCGAAGGCTCCGATCTCTGGTGTTTGTCTTCCCGCCGCATCCCCCCCCCCCCCCACCACCCCCGGGGGG